ATGAAATGGTTTACTTCTAGGGCCTTTTTCCCTGCATCTACTGTTCCGTGGATTCAACGCAAATGCTGATCGGCGAAATGCTGAATGCTTGGGCCTTGGGTCACCAGAAAGAACTCTGAAAAGTCGACGCAAATGAAATAACCGAAAGACATGACAACGTAAACACAGTGTAAACCCAGGTGTAGGCTAGTTTGCAGAAGCGTGTGGGAGAAGAACTTGCCTTGTTCTGTGAAATCGCGGCGCCAAAGGGGGCAGGCCAGTGGGTGCACCAAACCATCTGCACAGTTTGAATGATCCCAAGATGACATGATCAGCTTGGAGCTGCACGCGCAGTCACTTGCACTGGGATATGGCCGCTGCAGCCGGCCAGCTGCTGGTAACATTTCCCCCATGCTCGAATTCAAAAGTTCGAAACCTAATCGACCAACCACCCGCAGCGGGAAAGGGACGAGGCGAACACGCATGGAGAGCCGGCGCGTCGCCTCGAACGCTATATATCCCGTGCGTGCTCGGTGGCAAAGCCTCTCATCGCCAACTCGGAAACCTTCAGAGGAAAGCCACCACTAGCAAAGCCACCCGCGGTTCCATCCATCGAGCGAACGCCGACGCGGCAACATTTCGCTCTCGCCATGGCGTCGCCGTCGTCGTCCCGGCTGCTCCTTCTCTCGTGCCTCGCGGTTGCGCTGCTCGCGGCGGACGCTGAAGTGCACCACCATGAGTTCGTTGTACGTGGCACGGCGTGAATACCTGTGTTTTCAGTGCGCAGGTGAAACATTTTTTTTGCCTGATCGATGTGGTTGTGCTTGTGCTCATCATCAAGGTCCAAGAGACGCCAGTGAAGAGGCTGTGCAAGACGCACAACATCATCACGGTGAACGGGCAGTACCCGGGGCCGACGCTGGAGGTCAGGGAGGGCGACACGCTCGTGATCAACGTCGTCAACCGGGCGCAGTACAACGTCACCATCCACTGGTACGTAATACACCCTTCGTTGTTCGTTCTCGCTTTCTCAACCATCCACCGGCTGCAGATCATGTGGTCCGGTCGATCAATAATGCGCGTGCTTCTGTTCTTACTGCATGGTGTCATGGTGTGCGCAGGCACGGCATTCGGCAGATGAGGACTGGATGGGCGGACGGGCCGGAGTTCGTGACGCAGTGCCCCATCAAGCCCGGCGGCAGCTACAAGTACCGGTTCACCATCGAGGGGCAGGAGGGCACGCTGTGGTGGCACGCGCACAGCTCCTGGCTCAGGGCCACCGTCTACGGCGCGCTCATCATCCGCCCCAGGGAGAACAAGACCTACCCCTTCGCCAAGCCCTCGCGCGAAGTCCCCGTCATCCTCGGTCTGCACCCTCTTCTTCTTCTTCTACTTGCTTTTGCATCTCCTCTACTCGTTTGTTGTTTCTGTTTCATTCACGTCTAATCTGACCAACCAATGACAACGTAACGGAGTACTACTAGTTACTGAAACTCTTGACGGTGTTGGATCGTCGATGGGCAGGCGAGTGGTGGGATGCGAACCCGATCGACGTCATCCGGGAGGCGCAGAAGACGGGCGGCGGTCCAAACGTCTCCGACGCGTTCACCATCAACGGCCAGCCCGGCGACCTGTTCAAATGCTCCCAGAAAGGTACGTAGCTCATCTCGCATGCCCATGCATGTTTGGGTTCGTGCATGTTACACGAAGTCACGGACACGCACAAACCCTGCACGAAACAGCATCATCCGTGCTCAACTCCTTTGGCATTAATGCGTCTTTACTTTGCTCGGCAATCGGCATGCAGAGACGACGGCCATTCCGGTGAAGGCCGGCGAGACGGCGCTGCTGCGGTTCATCAACGCCGCGCTCAACCACGAGCTGTTCGTCACCATCGCGCAGCACAAGATGACGGTGGTCGCCACCGACGCGTCCTACACAAAACCCTTCACCACCTCGGTGCTCATGATCGCGCCGGGCCAGACCACCGACGTCCTCGTCACCATGGACCAGGCGCCCACCCGGTACTACATCGCCGCGCGCGCCTACGTCTCCAGCCAGAACGTGGCCTTCGACAACACCACCACCACGGCCGTCATCGAGTACGACTGCGGTTGCGCCTCCGACTTCGGCCCCAAGATACAGCCGGCGTTCCCGGCGCTCCCGGCCTTCAACGACACCAGCACCGCCACCGCCTTCGCCGCGGGGATCAAGAGTCCCAACAGGGTCAAGATCCACGAGAACGTCGACGAGTACCTCTTCTTCACCGTCGGCCTCGGCCTGTTCAACTGCAAGCCGGGCCAGCTCTGCAAGGGGCCCAACAATAACACCCGCTTCACGGCCAGCATGAACAACGTCTCCTTCGTCTTCCCCAAGACCGACTCCCTCCTCCACGCGCACTACTACAAGATCCCCGGCGTCTTCACCACCGACTTCCCGGCGTACCCGCCGGTGCAGTTCGACTACACGGCGCAGAACGTCAGCCAGGCACTGTGGCAGCCGGTCCCCGGGACCAAGCTGTACCCGCTCAGGTTCGGTTCCGTGGTGCAAGTCGTCCTGCAGGACACCAGCATCGTCACGCCGGAGAACCACCCCATCCACATCCATGGCTACGATTTCTTCATCCTCGCCGAGGGTTTCGGCAACTTCGACCCCAAGAAGGACGTCGAGAAGTTCAACTACGTCGACCCGCCGCAGCGGAACACCGTGGCGGTGCCTGTCAACGGCTGGGCAGTCATCCAGTTCGTCGCCGACAACCCAGGTGTGTGGATCATGCATTGCCATCTGGACGTGCACATCACCTGGGGCCTGGCAATGGCTTTCCTAGTGGAGGACGGGTACGGCGAACTGCAGTCACTGGAGCCGCCCCCAGTTGATCTTCCCATGTGCTAATGATCAGCAGAAGATACTGTGTTGAGGAATTGGAAGCCTGTTCACGTTGTATGTTAATTGTGACTTTTTTTTGGGCATTTATTCGTGATCTTAAATTCTAGGGGACTTGATTTTCCAGCTTGTTTTGAAGTTCTCCACTGTAAATCTATGTATGACATTCAGCATATTATTTGAGAATAAATTATTTCTTTGTATGATTGTCTACCGAAAGAACCAATCTGAGATGTGCAACAGCAAAATTAAACACTGTTCTTTAAGAAAAATTCAAGATTGATGACTGCAAGCATGAGGTATAAGAAAATTCAGAACCATTATTCAATACCTATGAAGGACAATTTAAGATGGAGGGATTGCAACTAATATAACCCATTGTTAGCAAAAAGTGGAGCTGACGCCTCCAACTCAGATCAAATAGAAACATACTAATTGTACTAACAATTAAAAAACCTATTCAGTTAAAAACAATTTTAAAAACTGAGACCAAACTGATCCCCAACCTGAAAGCGAGCTTCAGACTTCAGAATCACGCCGCCCAACCACCAAATTTCTTTACCTATGAATTAGACATCACCCCTGATACAATCAGATCATGACAGCCCATATCAGATGATTACTTCCAAACCACATATTCCTTGAAAATGCAAGAAACAAGACCAAATACTCCAATGGTTGGTAAATGCTACCTCCTAAACAAGACAGAGTAATGGCTGATTTAGAAAGGATGAGCCACACTATACATAGGCTAGGAATTAGTATACTCCTCCATGATCAATACTTACATAAGCAATGCCGTGTGAAAACTAATCTCAATTCTCATTTGATATCTTCTATTATAGCTAGGTCAACTACCACGCTGGGATCCAAGTATCCTGCTACGTTGATTTGGCATCTAATATAAGCAATCTTAAACAACATCCAGAGAGTACAATATCTGTCAGCTTATCATGAGTTACAGTCATGGGTCATTCAAACAGACAAGACCATGAAACTTACCTTCCTGCTAGGTTGGTCCCTCTTTTTTTTTAATTAATGAAACCACCTTCACAGATTGACTCATGATGAACTGATGATTGGGCTGCCTGTACTGATGTAACACAAATACAGTATATTTATTCAGGAATCTGCACTCAACAAGAACGGTATTATTAGCCTGAACGATACTTCAAAACAATTTCAGCATCATATGACAGAAATTTTTTTTAACAGACCCCTACTTTTAACTGCAAGCAAGAATTTCAGCAAAAAAATTAACGCTAAATGTGTTGTTGGGAGATTGAAACAATTTTACTATGATGAATAACTGCAGCCAAGCAAACTTTTGCAATTTTTTTTCCGTAGTAAAACACAAGTAGCACTCTCTAAGTTTAGGGCACTAGCTCAATAGCTTTAGGATTACAGATACACATCTCACTCAATGCTTTATGTAAACTTAAGTTTTAGCTGGATGACTACCTTTGCCACAATTTTGGTTCACCCATTTTTTTGGCCCTATAGGCACCTTCATGTCCTGTAATTTCTGTAAACTCCAGCACAGTTGTAGTGAGTGAAAAAGCTAATAATAGGATGCAATCTATCTGAAATCTTAACTAATGTACAGCTTTACCATTTTAGAGTGTACTCTACTAGTTATGTTTTCTCCAAAACTTATGTTATAAACCTAGCATTGTAATATGATTCAACACAGTACAATATTGCTCAGAACATCAAAACGACAAATATTGCAGACAACATGAAATACTGATCACAGCCCCTAAGCATTCAGAATTGACAATGAATTTTGTACACAAGGATCAAATTTCTAATGAGGCAGAAATAACCAGAGATCCATAAAATTTGTCATGATGTACACATGAATGTAAGAGCACACCAATACATTGTTAGCAATTTGACAATGCTTAATGCTCATTGTCACCAGATTTGGTGAAGTGCAAGAGAAGTACAGCTCTTGCAGATCTTTGCATAATTCCACAAAAAGTACAACAGAAAAATCGGATCCACATCCATAGTTACTCGCAGTGAAGTAACACATGAGCAAGGAGCTAGTTTCTACAACTTCTGGATCAGATCCCTCTCGATTTTGACTCTAACTGAATTCCCCGAGCACAAGAATCCTACCGGTCCTGGACACATCAAACCCCAGATCCGGGCGACGCGAGGAAGGAGATGAGCCTGCTGGTGGTGTTTCCATTGGACGCAGCGCTCGGATCATCAAGGAAGAGGTCCTCTGGAACGCGGCAGGCGCCGTGGGCGGCGACGATGGCGCCCCCGACAAGCAGCCCGGAGATGATGAGCGAAGCCACGGAGGTGAGGAAGAAGGCGAGCACAGACGCGACGACAAGGCCGAGCAGCGTCTCGCGGTCGGTGAAGGTGCGGCCGAAGAGCACGACGGGCTGGTCGGGGGCGCGGAAGACGTAGAGGAAGCACCAGGCGCCGAGGATGCCGAGGAGGACGAGGAGGGAGAAGGGGTGCGCCAGGAGCGAGGCCGCGAGGGAGAAGGCGACGACGGCGGCGTAGTTGACGCGGAAGTAGCCGAGGTTGCGGCGCAGCCGCGAGGTGGCCTCGGAGAGGGAGTCCGGGCGGGAGAAGGCCGACCGGTCCAGCAGCTCCGTCCACGGCCGCCGGTCCGCGAGCGAGCGCCGCGCCGTCTCGGCCAGCCGGCTCACGAAGAGGCGGAAGGCCGGCGTGGCGAGCGCCGCGTCGGAGAGGCCCGTGGCGGAGGACGGCGCGGAGCCGCCGCCGGCAGCCGTGGTCACGGGGAGCAAAGGCGCAGGCGTCGCAGCGGAAGTCATGGTGCCCTGTTTTGCGGAATCTGAGCTGGGGGATTGGCCCGCCCGACCTCTACTACGACTACGAGCGGCGGTTTCCTTCGTCTTATGCTTCAGCAGATTGGTGCTTCTATGCCCGTCGCCACTATACAGTGGTTATTACGCGCCTAACACGGGGCCCATATGTCTCGTGCTTAGAACATGGCTTTCCCACGAACGCACGACAACTCCTTCGGGTGCGTTCAGATCTGTAGAAATAATTCGTGGTCCTAGACCTAACTTTGCACTGGGCCATCTTGGGCTGAAGGCCTTAATTGGTAGCCCGTGTTGCCATTGAGCTGGGAGGTACAACCCTCGGCCTGGTAACAAAACAAACTAGCAACCGGCCCAAAGAAGCCGAGCCTGGTGTGGTCCGCATCTTGCTTTCGCGTCAATCACGGGCATCCTCGTCCTGTCCTCCATCTTTTGCCACCAACGTGACGCCAAAACCATAAACCCCATGCCGTAACCCTACCTGTCAGCGAACATTTAAATCTCTCCGCTTCGAGAGCGCCGTTGCGCTTGTGCTTGCATTTATGCTTTCCCCACCCACCGATCCGCCGCCGCCGGTCCCGCCTTTCTCCTCTCCCGAGGTCACCGCAGTTTTACTGTCCGTTCCCGTTTGTACCTCCGTCACCGACTTCATCCGACCGTCCAAGCGACAAGTCCAGCCTCGCATCCACCGCACGCCGCGAGTTACCGCCCACCCCTCGAGCATGGGGTACGGTAAATTCTACAACCGGCGTCACAATACTACTCCAACGGCGCCTCCACTCCTGTCCGAGCACTGAGCGGCCATCCTTGTCACTGCCCGATAAACCACCACGGCACCACCATCGCCCCCCGGCCCTCTCCGCCGCAGATTCAAACCCTAGCCGGAACCTCGCGCCGATCGACGGGAGGGGAGAGGCGTCCGGCGACCTCGCTCGGCGGCTGATGGCGGAGGACGGCGAGGAGAAGCTGCTCGCCACGGTGCAGCACATCGTTCAGACCCTTGGCCGCACCGACACCATGACGGAGGATATACTCAAGGTCTTCTCCAACTACGACGGCCGCCTCTCGCTCGACAAGCTCTACGCCACGCGCGCCGCTGCGGCGGCGGCCGCAGTCGGAGGGGCTACTGGGGAGCGCTCCGTGCCGGCCTCGCCGCCCATGCCGCCGCCTCCTGTGGCGCCGTCGGCCGCCGCGGCCATGCCCCCGGTGACGTCGCTGGAGCGGACCGTGCGCACGCTGGACCGGCAGATCTCGCAGTTCGTCACCATGGATAGGCTCATATGGGCGGACTCAGCGGACGCGGACGCGTTCCTGGAGGCGGTGGACGACCTCGTCGGCACCGTGCAGGAGCTGGACGCCGCCGGGACCAACCGCGGGCTGCTCGACCGCGCCGACGAGCTGCTGAGCCGGTGCATGGCCCGGCTGGAGGACGAGTTCCGGGCGCTCATCGAGCGCCCCGACGACGCGGCGCCTCAGGTGCCCGGTGGGTTCGGGTCTGATGACAGCGAGGAGGACTACGACGCGGATGACGGCTTTGGCGACGAGCCAATCCCAATCGCGAGGCCCGTCTCGGACTTCGACATCGTCATCGATGCTCTCCCGCCGGGCTCGGTGTCTGATGTTCACCAGATTGCCCGGCGGATGGTGGACGCTGGCTTTGGTCGCGAGTGCGCCGAGGCATACGCGGCCGCACGCCGCGGTTTCATCGACGAGAGCGTCGCTCGCCTCGGCATCCGTTCCCGTACAGCCGACGAGGTCCACTCCTTACCATGGGAGGAGCTCGAGTTCGACATTGCTCGTTGGATCCCAGCATTCAAGATGGTGTTTCGGATCCTAATCCCTAGCGAGCGCCGCCTCTGTGATCGTGTCTTCGAAGGCCTCGCTCCGTACGGCGACCTTGCCTTTGTTGCCGCCGTGCGCACCCAGGCGCTTCAGCTTATTTCATTCGGAGATGCAGTTGCTGCTGCCAGCCGCGCGCCAGAACGGCTCTTCCGTGTTATTGACATGTATGAAGCAGTCCGGGACCTCCTTCCTGACCTCGATCCTGTCTTCTCTGATCCCTACTCTGCAGCTCTTCGTGCTGAGGTATCAGCTGTGTGCAACACTCTTGGCTCCTCAATCAAAGGTATATTCATGGAGCTGGAAAATCTCATCCGCCGTGATCCAGCCCGTGTTGCTGTGCCTGGTGGTGGCATACATCCAATCACTCGGTATGTCATGAACTATCTCCGTGCCGCATGTGGTTCGCGGCAAACACTGGAAGAGGTGATGGAAGGTGACTTGGGTGCTGTTGGCACAGCGGCTATTGCTGTCGACCCTGATCGCCCTACTTCGTCGCTAGCTGTGCACATAGCTTGGATCATGGATGTGCTTCACAAGAATTTGGAGACCAAATCGAAGATATACAGGGATCCACCACTTGCTTCCATATTCTTGATGAATAACGGGAAATACATTATTCACAAGGTGAATGACAGTGAGCTTGGGGTTTTGCTTGGTGATGAATGGATGAAACAGATGATGAGCAGGGTGCGCAGGTGGAGTATGGAGTATCAGCGTGGGGCCTGGGCAAAGGTCATATCAGTGCTGCAGACTGGAGGTCCTGGCGTTGGCAGTATCACTGCAAAGTCCATGCTTCAGAAAATGCAGATGTTTAACAGCTACATGGAGGAGATTTGCACGGTCCAGTCCGATTGGGTGATTGCAGATGAGCAGTTACGAGCAGATGTTAAGTCAGCGATAGTGGATTCTGTTATGCCTGCATATAGAGGCTTAATTGGGAGATTGAGATCATCTCCTGAAGCTGCCCGAGACTTGTTCATCAAATACACCCCAGAGGATGTTCAGGCACGCATCCAACATCTATTTGAAGGAGTGGCCAAGTGATTAGTTAGTTATGTGATTTTATTGCTATAGCTATTTTAGCGGATATCATAACCTTAGTTATGGTGACATTCTGGGCTCAATGATGTGTTGCAAAAAGGCTGGACTTTGTCTTAGATGAGGAAATGCTATCGGATCCAGCTATGTAAATTTGTAGGTGTTTCTGTATCAAGTATCAACTGGTAATTTTAACTTAATGTGTCGTATTGTTTGTTTATTATTATTGGCTTGATTTCTCCTTTAGCTATGAGTAATAATTAGGTGTGCTGTGTGTACTTTTTACTTAATTAGTTATCTTAGTATTTCATATTTAGTAACTTGACTTATGTGAACAAATTATAAAGCAGAACACTGTTTCAATACCACTTCCACAGCTTTTACAATGGCCAGTGGTATCAGTGATAGGCCCTATTCTAGGAACAATTACTAGTTAATCTAATCTATTCTCTCCTCCTTTTTGCCCCAACTGATCCATCATGATTCTTAAATCTTCAATTTCATTTACCATTTGTGAATGGATTCGCATCATAAGGTTGGAAGAGAGAGTTGTTATGTGTTGATTGAACCACAATAAGGGATTCCATTAGGTAAACTATTAAAATTCACTTTTGAGAATGAATATGGAAGAAGATTAAGAAAGGTTACTTGAATACATCAAGCATTATATAGAATTACGGGGGTGTTTGATTCTTTAGACGTTCCTAAAATTTATGTCACATCAAATGTTTAGAGGCTAATAAGGAGTATTAAATATAAATTAATTATAAAACTAATTACATAGATGGAGACTAATTTTCGAGACGAATTTTTTAAGCCTAATTAATCTATCATTAGCGCATGTTTACTGTATCACAATGTTGTCAAATCATGGACAAATTAGGCTTAAAAGATTCGTCTCGTAAATTAGTCGCAAGTTATACAATTAGTTTCGTAATTAGTCTATATTTAATACTCCATGCATGTGTCTAAACATTCGATGTGACAGGAATTTTAGGAGTAAGGGAAGAAACCAAACAGCCCCTACATGTAGAGATCTCTTACATGTATGCAGGTACATACCTGGAAAATCCAAGAGTTCAAGGATAGTTGACAGCTGACATAACTGAAAGACGAGTAGAATGCACACTATTTCTGAATATATTTGTGTTGTGCACTATTTTATTTGGTTATTCTAAGTTTCTAACTATGAAGGGCGGGCCTGGTGCAAGTGGTAGAGTCTTACCGTCTGTAATCGGAAGGTCCTGGGTTCGAGTTGTGGTCTCATCGCATTGCACAGACGAGGATAAGGCTTGTCACTAACACCCTTTCCCAGACCCCGCACAGAGCGGGAGCTCTCTGCACTGGGTACGTCATTTTTATTCTAAGTTTCTAACTATGTATGAATTGGTCTTGGATTTTGACATATGCGCCCGTGAGACATAGCACATCCTTGAATTTAGGAATTAGCTCCTATGACTTACTCGGATCACAAATATAAGTCCATTAGGAGTTAGGACAGCGACAGTCTCAATATTGCACTTCGACAAGCAATATTTGTAAAAAAAGTGTTATCTTAAATAGAAATTGATACAGGTTATGGAGTGATTTAGATAGCAGAAGAAGGACCTCTACTTGGTTTTCATTGATTTGGAGAAGGCTTATGACAAGATAGCAAGAAATATTATGCGGTGGTCTTTGGGCAAACATAAAGTCCCATCAAAGTACGTGACCCTCATCACGGACATATACAACAATGTTGTGACTAGTGTTCGAACAAACGATGGTAACACAGATTACTTCCCGATTAAAATTGGACTTCATCAAGAGTCAGCTTTAAACCCGTATCTCTTTGCCTTGGTAACGAATGAGGTTACCAGGAACATAAAATGGGATATCCCTTGGTGTATATTGTTCGCTGATGATGTAGTGTTAGTGGACGAAAGCTAAGCGGGAGTAAATAGAAAACTAGAGTTATGGCGGCAGACCCTTAAGTCTAAAGGTTTTAGATTGAGTAGAACTAAAACCGAATACATGAGATGCGACTTTGGTGGAGTTGTACAGGAAGAGGGAGATGTGAGCTTAGAAGGTCAAGTAGTGTCTAAGAAGGATACCTTTTGGGATCTAAGATCGATGCTACAGAGGGATGGAGATATTAATGCGGACGTTAGCCATAGAATCAAAGCAGGGTGGATCAAGTGACGACAAGCTTCTGGCATTCTCTATGACAAGAGGGTACTACAAAAGCTAAAAGGTAAGTTCTATAGAACGACGATTAGACCGACTATGTTGTATGGAGCAGAATGTTGGCCTACAAAGATTCGACATGTTCAACAACTAAGTGTTGCAGAAATACGTATGTTGCGATATATTTGCGGTCACACAAGAATGGACCGAGTTCGGAAATATGATATACGTGATCGCCTAGAGGTAGCACCAATTGAAGAAAGGCTTGTCCAAATTGGTTGAGCTGGTTTGGCCATGTCCAAAGAAGACCTCCAGAGGCACCAGTGCATTGTGGAGTTCTAAGCCATGCTAATAATATGAGGAGATGTAGAGGAAGACCAAAATTGATATGGAGAGGTAATAAAAAGAGATTTGAAAGCTTAGAATATACCTACAGATCTATGTTTGAATATGAGTACTTGAAAAGTAACTATTGAAGTACCTGAACCGTGACTTGGGGCTTTTGGTGGGTTTCAACTATAGTCTACCCCAATTTGCTTGGGACTAAAAGACTATGTTGTTGTTGTATGTTGTTGTCGTCGTCTTTATGAGGAATCTAGGAGCATTAGACTTCCGTTGTTAATCTATATGAATTTTGGGATATTGATAACAATGAAAGTTAAAAAAAGATTTAGGCAGTGGGGCCCTCCTGCCGGTCCTTTACCTCCTGGAAGCTCGATTTCAGAGAAGCCAGACTCCAAGATAGACTCTGTGCTGCAAAGAAACCCACCCTTTTACTTCTTTTAGATTGTAGACTCTCTTGCCTATCTCCAGTGCCCTCCTCAGGCTAAGCTAGACTTTGCTGTTTTGTTTGTACAGTTTTTAGTCTCTTGTACAGCTTTCTTTCCTTTTTTTTCAATACAAATTTTACAGTGGGGCCTCCCCTGCTGTTTTCTTGGTTTTAAAAAAAAGGACAAACCCAGATGGACTTGTGTTTACGATAGGAGGAAGTATTTTTTTTTTCCACGCAAACCTTTGTGTTGTTTCTCAAAGCTTGCCTTTTAGATTTCAACTACTTGATGTATATTGGTTGAAAGAAAAGTCAAAGAGTACAATTGCCACGAAGTGATGTCTGGTGGCTGTGTGGTTGGATGTTGCTATCCTGAGATAAGCTCATTGTGACCCCCCAACAGCCACCAACAGCATAGATGGATGTAATGCTATGGTTTTGTCCGTATCCACCACCCATTGCACCTCGTACATAAATGGTGGTCTGTTGTGATTTTGCATCATTTGGAACATCAGTAACTCATCTGTATGGAGGTCAAGTTGGATGCATCTAGGTGCTACTAGGAAGATAAAGTTTTGCATCCTTAATTTCAGATTCGCTTTCTGTGAGGTACGTTTCACACTCTTAGTTCTTTTATGATATGAATATGAATATGAAATGTCTGAACTGGTCCATTTTGCCAGCTAGAGACTGGAGATGATTGAACTGCGTTGCACCATCCTCTTCTATGATTTGCCCTGAAGGCTTAGGAGGCTCACAAATTTGAAGTTACAGATCCGCATAGACTTAAGGGTGTTTGCTTTGTAGCATTAGTGATTGGCATGGAGGAAACTCTGCAAGCACTCGATGATCTGATTTCCCAGTTCCTGAGCTTGGATCGGTCTCTCTGGTCCAGTTCTGATGATGCTGACGCCTTTTTAGAAGCTGTGGATGAACTAACTTCCACCATCCATGGCCTTGAGAATACCTCAGCGGATCATGTGCTCCTTGAGAGCTTTGATCTCCTTCTAGAGCGATGTTCCACGAGGCTTAAGGATGAGTTCCAGCAGCTGGTGGGTACATCTGGCTTCAGTGATGACCATGGTGACCACAGTTTCAAGAGAAGCCAAAATGAAGATGACAACCACACCTTTGTAGCCCAACCAGTTAGAAACTTTGACATCATTGTTGATGCCTTACCAGAGGGTGTAGTCACTGAGGCAAATCGAATCGCAAGAAGGATGATCGCTGCTGGTTTTGGTGATACATGCGCGGAGACCTATGCTTCTGCACGCCGCGACTTCATTGATGAGAGTATTGCTCGACTTGGGGTCAATGCTCATTTGGAAGAATTGTCCAAGTCAACATCATGGGAGGAGCTTGAGACTCAGATCATGCGCTGGATACCTGCAATACGTGTTGTGTTCCACATCTTAATCCCAAGTGAGCGTCACCTATGCAATTGCATCTTTGAAGAATTTACATCTTACACTAACCTTGCCTTTGCCACAGCATGCAAACCATTTCTTCAACTCCTGTCCTTTGCCAAAGTTATTGCTGCTGCTGGACATAACCCAGAGAGTCTCTTCCGTATAGTTGACATGTATGATGCTTTAACTGATATTCTTCCTGTACTTGATGAAGCCTTTGATCATGAGGTAGCTGTTCTTCGTGAATGCCTTGGATTGTCAATTAAGGGCATATTTGTGGCTCTAGAAAAACTGATACGCTGTGATCCATGCGAGTCTTCACCACCAGATGGTGGATTGCATCCGATTACAAGGTACGTGATGAACTATCTTATGGCAGCTTGCGTATCTCGCCATACTCTGGAAGAAGTGATGCTTGTGGAGTTTGGTTGTGTTGAAACATGTCCAATCGACCCTGACCGTCCCACATCATCACTGGCAATCCGCTTTGCTTGGATTGTGGATGTGCTGATAGGGAATCTTGAGTCCAAATCCAGGATTTATGGTCATGCTCCTCTTGGCTGTGTCTTCCTGATCAACAATGGGATCTATATAATCAAGAAAGTCAATGGTTGCGAGCTTAAGATCTTGCTGGGTGAGGATTGGACCAGGGTAATATCTGCAAAGGTTCAGCAATGGGTGTTGGAATACCGCCGGGCTACCTGGGGGAGGGCCATAGCGATACTTGAGACTGACAGTAGTTTGAGTATTATTTTAGAGAAACTGAACCGCTTCCATAACTTTGTGGAAGCGATTTGCCAGGTGCAGTCACGGTGGGTACTGGTGGATAAGCAGCAAGCAGTGAATTTGAGCATTATGGTTGAGGAGCTGGTTATTCCAGTGTACAGGGATACAATTGATATGTTAAAGGCAACAGAGGCTGTAGGGGTTTCATATGTGCGACCTGAGGACGTGAAGTCACGGATTCAGCGGTTGTTCAAAGCAATGGCCAAATCATAGAGTGGCTTTTCTGGCTTCAGCTTTCTGACTTTTTTTAATTTCTCAGGTTTGTACTGTAAGTTGTGTTTCTAAGGGCCTGTTTGGTCTCAGTCATCTCTATTACTTTGACATACGTATGTTACAGTAATTCATGTTTCACTAACTAGGATCACATGAACTGATGAACTCCTGTAGCAACTGGGTCTCCTATGCAAGCATCATAGTATGCTAGCAATTAGTTCCTCCTAGGCTCCTAGGCTTGTCTAATTTTACCATCATTAGTATTATTTACTAGAGTCTAGAAGACTAAAATTGTAAGGAAGTTTAGTTCGCTACTAAACTTGTTCTGTATGTGATCAAACGTCTGTGATGACTAATATGAGCATAATGTAGCCAGTATATTATTCCTCACTACTTGGTTTTCTAACCTTTTCATACTGAACTGGCAGAAGATTCGTTTTGCATTGGAGCTGATGAATGATATCGTAGCGACATAGCCCTGCCTTTCAAGGAACTCGTAGCCGAACCTACAATATTTGTGTTTAACCATTGCAATTCTGTTTTGCTTTAACTTCACTTGTAAAATGCATACCTGACATCCTGGGGGAGACTGAGTTATTTACCTAGTTCTCATAAATCCATTGTTCAGTAATCAATACATCATGCATGCGATGATAGGTGACATACGAGAAGCTCTTCTATACTGGACTTAAAAAGTACGAAGGCAAAATAATTACTTGTGTGCATTAATACAAGGAGAAAACCTTATTTGGGTATTTGATTAATTAAAACTGTGGAATAACGTATTTGACTATGTAATCATTTACTAACATGTAAACCCTCTCTGTTGGGTGCACAGCATCGTAAAATACATAGGATGACACATTTTTGCAGATAGGAGTCAATGCATCGCAAAACAGAGCAACCTCTCTGAGCCCAGTCCCGCAACATCCTCGTGTTGTCTCTGTAAATCCTGTTACCATGGCAAACCTTTGTCAGAATTGATATGATTAACAGCAAGTCAAACTCTGGGCTGACATGAAGAAAGAACTAAAATATAATAATCATGCATTTTGCAATTGAATTACTAAGTGTTTGGTTTCTGCCAGCCACTAGGTTTTGGCTGCCAAGTCTAGCACAATACTACTGCATTGGCTAGGATTTAAGGCATTCTCTCTGTTTCAGAACTTTAAGTCTGTGATCAACTTCCATCACAGTTCTGTGATCAGCCTCCTAGTGTATAAGCCATGGCATTAACAGAAAACGTTACCGTATTTTGCCGGGTTCTCCAGGATCTCCATGAGAGCTCTGTATGCATCCAAGTACACAATTCTGCTTCCATGGAGTGAGCCTTGCAAAGTTGTAAGTAATTTTTGAAGTTTAGAGTTATAGACCTGAGCATCCCAGTTTTGCTCATCCACACATGCCCTGTCAGGGTCTCTGCTCAATGTGATTTGGATAGGTGTGCAACCAAACGGCGGAAGGCCTGCCAAACAGAAGTGTCGGCCCCCAAGGTCATATAATTCCTGCATTCAAATTTAGGGAATTGAAAGTAATGTTATGCCTAGTTTTTGAAGTGTAATAGAAGAATTCAGGAGAGACAGCTCAAAAGGAGGAGATGCCTAGTTTTACCTTGACATAAACCTGTACCATCCGGAGAACAATATCTTGGTAGTCACCAATGTCCATCTTCCTCTTCTTCGACGAACGGTAGTAATGTGAGAAATCGTTGGTTCCTGAGCTGATAAAGATCAGAGAGCTGGCAATGATCCTGGAAGCCTCCTTGTCCCCAACAATGTTCCTGAGCCGGAGGAGGTAGTCCTTGAAGAGGTCCACCTGTTTGGACATTGGTAGAGTATTGGACAGCTGCGACGTCTGGTCATCTAATCCTGAACCAGCTGATGCGAAGTTCACCCCTGTCACCATGTCGTTGCTTGACAGCCTTGTATCCAGAAACGGCGGTGAGAATTCTTTGAGTTGCAGCTTCTCGTTGAGGAGGTCTGGGATAAGCCGGCCATTGGAAAACCTCCCTGTTGGTTTCTTCCCTGGGAAATCTCTTCCGTAAGGAACATGGTTCGCTACAGCCACCGTGGGGAGATGATTGTTGTTGCCGGTGTCGAGAACTGAGTCGCCAAAGTAGAAGATAGCCGAGAACTTCGGCTGAATTCTCTTGGAGGAAGAAATGGCAGTGGAGAGGAAGAGCAAAAGGACTAGGAGAACAGGGTGTGCCTGTGCCATCAGAACGATTTGCTTGCCTCCGCTTTAATCTCCTCCAGTCTTAGTCTTATGGGTGCTTATATATTCTAGGCTAGAGGGCACTTGCATGACTAATAAATTTTGGAAATATTTAGCTGATGTTCTGTAACTAGCATATCTTCTCGGTTTTCAAAAATGTCATTCCTTTATGGTATTTGATTTGAGGAATGTGTTAGCCATTATTTTCTCACATACTCAACTTTGATGCCATGAGAGGAAGTCAATCATACTCTGACCAAATATATATAAAAAAATTATTAATATTTATAGTGTACAATAAATATAATTAGATTAATCATTGAATATATTTTTATAATATACTTATTTGGAGGTACAAAATGTTACTAATATTTTATATAAATCTAGTTAAACTTAGAAAAACTTAATATGCACAAAAATTTAGGCGACACAGAAAATGACAGAGGGAGTAATAATTACACTAGTACGAGGAATAAAGTCGTTCCACCAAATTTCATGAATGAACTCTTAGAAAAGGATAGAGGGAGTAATAATTGCACTAGTACGAGGAATAAAGTCATTCCACCAAATTTGATAAATAAACTCTTGATGCATCATATTATTTAGATCGGTTTAATTTCTTAAATCAAACACACCCTTAGTGACTCATGGTTTGATTATCTTTGTAGAGCCGAAGACTATGCAGCTTACTGCTGGTGGACGGCATGCAAAGCATGTGCTGGTTATTGTGCAGAGTGCAGAATTTGGCGCAAAGTGAACATGCTGAGCAATTTTTGTTACATTTTTTTTTATCTTGGAGTTCAGATTCCTGTTTCAGATTTGTGCGGCGTAGTTCAGACAGATTCTATGTTGAGTATCCCAATATGGTTTGGCTCTAGTAAAGTGCCAGCGATTTTGGTTGCTATCCCGTTTGTTCTGCTTCTTGTGATAGGCATGATACTCCAAGAGCGACTCCTGATTTTCTTTCGAGCAAAGACTTTTATTTTTCTTTTATTTTCTCATTTTGTTTCAAGCAAATGTTTGCCGCAATAAAACAATTTACAGATCAATATTTGCTGTAGGACAAAAGTGTACACGCCATACACACACAACAATACATGGATGACGTGTTGGATTGGAGGGCTTCCTGTTTGATTGACGTCTGTCGGGAGTCGGGACAATCTGCAAGCTCACGGGACTTCTGCAAGCAAATCGTCCAGCTCCTCCATTCCACTTTCCACATGGCCTGATGGCCATATGGCACGGCAGCACGGGCAAAGCTGAACTACGTTCAGAAGTTCAGGTTTCCGCCGCCGCCGCTAATCTGCGTGCGTCGTCTGAATCGAGATGAAGTTACTGGTACATGAAATCGGACCCGCCAGATCATTTTGCGTGGTATATGCTGGTTTGTCCACAATTTATAGTCACAAGTTACGTCGGAACGCTTTTGTGCGTGGTGGTGGTATGTTCTACCACTGTCTGAGGGTATGTTACTGTCTGAAAAATTAGAGGTGTTTTGTGAAAGCAAGAACCAGTCAGCCAGCCGGCTTAAAGCCAGTCGAACGAGCTCTGAGTTAGAGGTGTTCACAGATAAAGTTTGCAGAAGTCTGACAAGAAAGGACTGACCTTCCAGAAATGTATTACTGTGTTTGAAAGGGAAAAAAAGCAAGATTTTTAAGGAAAATATCATGAATATTGGGAGAATCCTTTATGGGAGGCAGATGTGGCTCAATTAGTAGAGCATTATAATAAGCTTTCTATAGATACGGGTTTCAACTTATTGAGAATTTTTATCATCATAATAGTGATTATACTCCCTGCCTTAAACTATCATAAGTTCGACTAAATTTATAGAAAAAAAATTTAGGACACCAAATTAACTTCATTAGGTACAACTATGAGATTTAGTTTTACAATTTGCTTCTTTAATATGGTAGATAGATAAAATAAATTTGGTCAAATTTAGGATAAACTTCGATCCTTATATGAGCAGTTAATAGCTAAATGTTCATATGTTACTACAAATAACAAAAAACATAGTGTCTTCAGAAAAAAACATAGTAACAGCATTTGTTTTAATGAATTGTATGAGTAATTGCAAACGGTACATGACTTGCGGAAAGTAAACACTCAGTATTGATTATTTGTAAGAAGTGGTTTCTACTAACTTGTTAGGGTATTTTTGGAAAGGCTTCATAGTGATCCTTGCTAACTCACTTTGATAGTATTTTAGAGGCTAGCTACCTTAGGCAGATGGGTATCATGGCTTATGAGTGAAGTTGCATAAGCTCTGACGGAGTTATTCAAAACTACCGGTCATGCTCTCAGTCATGAGCAGCATAAATCCTTTTCGATTAGTTGTTTCGATGGATTTGTGTGGGGGTATGACCTCGGATACCCACGGCAGACTATATGGGCTGCGCTCCCAGGGACGGTCCAGCCCACAAGACGAAGACCTACGGTGCACGGCACTGCTCGGCGTGTACTGCAAGACATCGAGGGCGATATCCTGAAGATACTACGAGATTGTTAAGATACGTTTGATCCCATGATTCCTGTAATCTGTTATTACTTTCCGATTATCTTCTAGATCTAACCGACTTGTAACCCTGCCCCTCATACTATATAAGGTGGGTAGGGACCCCCTCAAAACACACACAATATCATACAATCCAATAGACCACAGGAGTAGGGTATTACGTCGCACTGACGGCCCGAACCTGTCTAACTCTTGTGTCTCTGTTGTCTTCTTGTTCTCGATTACACGCATATCTGCCAATCAATCTACCTTCGTGGGATACCTCTTG